ATGTGGCCCACCTTGCCACACCTGTAACAAGCACTAGAAATTTTATAGCAAACCCTTTTGTGCCTTTTGCCACATTCAGGGCAGGCTGGTATGGAATTATTTCCCTAACTAGAGCTGGTTGTTGACCCTGTATTCTGCTTCTTGTTCAATGGACTGTTCCGGCCTTTCTTAAACTTAAAGCCCCGTCTTTTACCGCGCCACTCAGTCGCTGGTGTTTTAGTCTGTTTCAATGCTTCAATATTTGACTCAGCTATTATTGCTTGGTCAAGAACATCTACATATTTAAGTAACTTCAGCATGTTGATTCTGTCAAGTATCTCTACATTGAGGTCGCCTTCAAACTTCTTGGCCTTTTTATAATCAGTGTCCAACATGTGCGGTGCATACCGGGCCAGTTCGGTGAACTTAGATTCATATTCAGCTACTGACATGGTGCCCTACTTTAATTGCTCAAATTCAGTCACTTTGCGATCCCTGACACACTGAGGGAAGTATTTCTCAAAGATGGCTTCTTTAAATTGAGCCCAAGTCATAGCATGATTGGTGTCACGGACAAGCATCCACCACCGTCTGGCTTCTTCTTGTAAAGTGAATGTAACCAATAATACCTTGTATGCTTCAAAACACGGAAACACTTCAAATAGTTTTTTAGTCTCAAGAACCCATGCTTCGGTCTTTAATGGTTCAAGGCCTTCCTAAAAAGAGGGTGGTTTCATTTTGCTGAATTTCTGTGTCAGAGCAATTATATCATCATTAACATTTGGTTCTGGCTGTACTGCAAGAGGTGGGGGCTGTTGGTTCGATTGTTGCCTTAGAGTTTCAGTCAATAGCTCCACCATTCTCTCCAAGCTTGCCATTCTTGCCTCAGATGATTCAGACTCATCGGCATTTCTTGCATTGTACATTTCACTATATGCAATACAATGATAATAAACATAGGAAGTTGCATACTTAAACATATTAGCACATTAGCACGTATATTCATGTCATGGCCACACACTTTTTCATGTTCATGCAATGCCCTAATTACTTTCCTAGGACATCCTATAGCTCAATTGGACACGTGTGTGCGGTATAACTCGTGCTTAGTATCACTCTGATACCACTCTCTCACGACCCAAACCCACCCCTATGGGTTTAGCACCGTAACCGGCCAATAATCCGTGATTACCGAAGGCATGCCTAACAGTAATAACAGTAATACAGAGTAAAGGGGCTAGCGGAAGCCAAATAGTAATAAAAAGATGTCTAATGAGCTATGACAGTCTGTATGCAAAAAGACTTTTATGTGCAAGCCACATTTATAACCAAAACATATGTACATCATATACACAAACATTCAAGTTAGGGACCAAATACCTTCACTATAACTGTACAGTACAAGTCTTAAACAGTCACTAAAAAACAGAGACAGACGGGTGAAACTGAGACACCCCAAAAGTAGCCTTAGCCTGAACAGACTTGGAACCTCGAAGTGAGGCACAAAGGTTGGCTTGACAAAACAATAGCTAACCCGACGCTCCTAGCTTCGGTCCGGTGCCTAGACACCTACATATAAATATAAACAGTGAGCTAAAGCCCAGTGAATAACATATGTGTAAAGAGGTTGAGAATGAATGTCCTTTCAGTATTTAAAACAGTCATTTACATCAGTAAATCAGTTATTCAGTCAGTGGCTTATATTTCATGCCATATCAGCCATTTAGAAACCACAATAGTCATATGTGGTACATCCAATAGCAAAACAGTACAGTAGGTCTTAATAGACCTAACAGTCAGTTGATGGCCATCATAACAGTAAACAGTAGTAGTTCCAACATTGAAACTGACAGAGATCTCTGTAACAGTAGCAGTAACAGTAACAGTAGTTGCTATAGATGCCATAAGTACAGTTTAGAATATAGACAAACATTCATTCAGTAAACAGTATCATTTCAGAAAACATTACAGTCGATCATTCAGAAAATAACTATAATTGAACATATCTTTACAACATTGTTACTCACAGAGTACTGGGCTATAGATAGACTAGCGAGCGTCCTCGGATGCCAACCTTACATAGTTACAGAATGAACACACACTAAAGTTACACACTTGGGAATCAATAACTTAGTCCCTATTTGACTCGGTGTGATTCTACATCAATATCTTCATTAAGATGCCTTAAACATGGCCTAGGAATGCCTAGGATGGAAAGAGGATACAAAGATGCACTTTAAAACACTTTTCAAGTTTTTACTAAAACAGGGGTCTCGTTCGAGTGTGGATTCTTCGCTCGAGCGGACATGTAGACAATGAAGCTCCGCTCGAGCGTGACTTCCTTCGCTCGAGCGGACTGCAAACTCATGAAAAGTACTGGATGCATGATATTCATGCTCAATGGGCGCTCGACCTACGCTCGAGCGTGAGACTCAAGTCCTCACTCGAGCGTGAACTCTCTCGCTCGAGCAGACTGCAAAACACATGAACTTCTGGGCATATGCATTTCACGCTCGAGCGTGACTTCCTTCGCTCAAGCGGAAGTGCATGCACTCAGATTGTACGCTCGAGCGTGAAGTCCTACGCTCGAACGTGGGTCCAAAATCTGAAATTTCCAGATTGAATCTCAAGCACAAAATTCAACTTTTAAAGCTTCAAATTCGTTTCCTTTGGGCTAATTTTCTGGAAAACACATAAAACCCCATAGTATAACATATTTTGAAGATCAATTTACAAAATCAAAGCCCAAAGGTAGGTCAATCAAACACCAATTTCAAAGAAACTTCAAGAACATGAAGTACATATAACATGCATATGTTCCAATGCTCCAAAACACAATCAAATGCACTTAAGCTCAAAATCATGGTGAATTCATGGATCATAACCAAAAATATGAACATGCATGTAGGTCTTTCATGAAGAACAACTTCAAGATGCTATGATATGGACATGCATGCACACATTACTATTCAATCCAACACCTTGAGCCAATTCTAGTCTCTAATCACCAATTTTGTCATGGACCATGCCAGATACAACTTAAATTCAGGCTCAAGAGGGTGAATTCTCTACCTTAGGTCTTCAATTCAAGATATGGAAGCTCAATTTTTGCAATCTCCCTCAATTCTACTAAGTTCAAGCAAAGCTCTAGTTGAAATCAATCTTGTTCTCCTACTCTCCCTCGCTCATACGGTTTGCTCTAGAAGAAATGGATGAGATGGTGTAAAACTAAGCTTTCAAACAAGATTTGTAGGAGTGGTCCACTAAATTGCAATTTGGTAATTAATGCAACTAATGTAATTCAACATTATTTAATCTCATTTATTCATACCAAATCAAATTTTAATTAAACCTACCGTAAAATCACATAAATTCTAATTAACACATAATGCTAATCAATTTCTGATTCGGCCACCGATAAGGCCTTCAATTCGCAATTCGAAATTTAAAACATGAACAGATCAATTAAATGACAGACAAATAGAAATGTAATTAAACAACATACTCATGTAATCAGTTTAGGATTTCATCCTAATCAATTACTTATCATGCTTAATCATAGATTAGCACTAATCAGTGGTGAGGGTTGTCGCGATAGTTTTTCCTTTCCTGACCTCTGAATTCCTCCCCCTGCGACTTTTGTATAGAAGACGCGGAAGCCACAGTGACAGAAGGTCCTCGGGATGACTTGAAGCTGGTTTTATAACTAGTCTCGAATCCAATCTCTTGAGATTGAGGTACATTGATGTTCCGAGATGCTTCAATTAGTGTCGAGAAGGTGGGCAGCTTGTGATTAACAAGAAGCATCTTGTACCCGTTCAATGCCTCTTCAACACAGATTCGGACCAAGTAGTTTTCCTCTACAGCCTCATGACAGTCCACGGCTTTGTCATGAAACCTCTTCACATATTCGAGAATGTCTGCACCCTCTTGTTGCTTTTCCTTACATAGGGTAAGTGTGGTTACCTTCTCAATTGCTTGAAAGAATTTGGTGTGGAATTTGTTGACCATCGCCTCTCAACTCCGAACAGACTTTGGGGTCAAGTTAACATACCAACTGTATGCTCGGTTGGTGAGGGACTTGGAGAATTCTCTTAGTCAGAGGACATGATTTAAACCATGAATTCCCAAAGTCTCGATGAACTGAACATGTTCTCAAGCATTTCCTTGTTTGCCATCGAATTTGATAAACTTCGGCACTATGTACCCCTCCGGGTATGGATAACTCAACATCTCAATAGGGTATGGTGGCTTGACATCCGGATCGGGCAAAGAGGGTAAAGTCCTCTTGCTCCGTTCAAGATCAAGCATGGCTTACACATCGGCGAGAGTGAGAAATTGTTGAGGGAGAGAACTTGATGGTGGTATTCCCAGCACTTGGCTTGTAGACCCGAAAACTGAACTTGGAGCGACTTAGCCATTTGGGTGTTGAGAATTTATCATCAGTGAAGACACATGACAATATTGGCTATCGGCACCTATGGACATGCCATTTGGTGATGGGACGGTGCATTGAGTCCATTGCACGCCACGACTATACTGGGTTGGACTTGCAAACTTGGCGTCGAAGCCAAAGGAGACCCACTCAGTACATGAGTAGAATTTACAATTGGTGGAACAAAATTAGGCATGGATAGAGCACCATTTTGTAGAGAAATTTCTGTAGGCCTTTCTCGAACTTCCACAGCCGCTGGAACACCATTTATCATGCCGGAAACTCCTCCAACCACTGCTGGACCATGGCTCGATCCCCCAGATGCGTGATTTTGTACTACATGGGCCGCAGGTTGGCCATGACTTGTTCCTCCTAGCACTTGCTTTTGCACACCATTTTGTACAACTTCAGGGAGAATTTGGGGTGGATCTTGATGGTTTTGACCATTCCCAACATTACCATGAAGTTGATGCTTGTCGGTGCCAACTTGACCTCCATTTGTTACTGGCGGTGCGAAATTTGAACTCATCACCAACATAGTGTGGGTGAGATTTTGAAGGGTCGTGAGAATCTCTTGTTGAGTGTGTTAGAGTCCTTGAATGGCTTCAAGAATGAGAGGTGCATCTTGAACTTGAGTCCTCTCATCACCACCGTTGGAAGAGCCTTGTTGATGAACTTCTTCTTCTCTCACCATCTTCACCAAAGTTGTATAGATTCCGAATCTTGTTAAGACCATTAACCAATCTGCCTCCCCAGTGAAGTCGCCAAATGAAAGGAGTTAATTTAAGCCCACAAAATTAATTGGGCCTGATAATCCAAGGTTGGTGGGTCCGGATTTATCACTATCAAACGGGCTGAATCGCTCTAAGCCTCAATAGGGTTCGGATCCACGAACTCAGAAACTTACTCGAGCTCGGACTCGAAAGGGTATTCAGCAAGCCTAGAGATCTGAGGCACTCGGACTCGAAAGGGTTCGGATCCACGAACCTAGAGATCCGAAGCACTTGGCTTCGAACGGATTCAGACGCAATCTAGAAGTCGCTCCGTTAATGAGTCCCAGAACACTTGCGGGCTCGGAGCTTTCCGGGATCTACGCACCAGAACCATGGGCGTAATGGAGTTCAAACAAAGGACCCAATCCCGAGGACGGTGAGTGGAGATAAATTCACTCTTCGGTTAAACTAGCCTATACACGAGTTGAGGTGGCACGATTTAGGGAGTCCCTGAGACTCGATAATATTTGCGACAGGGTGTTTTCTTGAACTACCCCTGACCCTTATGTGGCAGGACGTCCCCTGTGACTACTCCTGACCCTTTGGGATGATTGGGATCATTGGTTAGGTGTGGCTAAAAAGAAGGGTTCGCCGAGAGGTTGATCTCCTCTTCGGGGTTTTCCTCATCCTCGGAGAGGCCACCTCCTCGGACAAGGTGGTTAGAGAGAATATTCTCCATGTGCCTTGCACATGGGCTCCATCCTACATCATGAGGTGCCTATAAATAGCACCCACCCATAGCTTTACAAGGGATGAATTTTGGAGATAAAACTCTTGGAAAAGAATTAATTCCCTGCTCCATTATCAACCTTGAGTGTGAAAGTGGGAGATCTATGGGAGAGCATTGCCATTATTCTTTCTCTAGCTACTTTGCCTTCTTCTTCACCCAATCTCTTATCTCCATCATCTCTTTACTTTTGTGTTCTTAGTTGAGACTATTGAAGAATCTAAGTCTCTCATTATCTTCTAGAGAATTCGAATTTTTCTTCAAGGATCTTCGAATTTTCCAACGACGTTCTTGAACCCTCTCGTACAATGTGTAACCATAATGGTTCATAATTAAGATTTTTTTATGATGCGTCCTTATATAATTACAATTGTTCATAACTAATATTACAAAAATTCTCAACTTTTTTTAAATTATATAACAGGAAAGGAAGAGTGTATACCATAATCTTTTCATCATAACTATGTTATTATATCAGTGAGTATTTCTTGTTTTTGTTTTAAGATTTGCATTTTTCACTAGAAACTTTTATTTTTCATCAACTTTGTCTAGAGCATTACTGTAGCACCACTGTAAATCCATAATCCTATTTAATGGCCTCGGAACTCAAAAGTCTGGTTCTGTCCTTGATTCAACTACATACATGTGCACCAAAAGGGTACTATGTGGCACCCATATAATATATTAATTTTGATTATATATAAAGAAATCTTATTTTAATCAAAGTTACATTAAACAAACTACATGGATGTACATCGATGTGTACTATATATTTACAAATATTCAATATCAATAAAACGTTAACTAATAACATAAAAATTGAGAAGATAATAAACTAGAACTGTAACTTAAATTTATTATTTTTCTATCTTAATCTCCCCACTCAATCACAATTTCACCAACAAGACTACAAAAGCAATCACATAAAAAAATTATGTTCAAACATTTTACATGATGAGATTTATCATAAAAGATAAAGTTTAGAGACAATTACACTGACATTGTATCAGCGTAAATTAATTATAACATAATAAAAAACTTATGATTATAATTATTAATTTTTATAATATATTTCACCTTTTTGTAAATATTTTTCCCTTGCTCCACTATCACGTTATTTCCCTTGAAGTTAAAAGATGTTATTATTGTTTAGTATCTAAATATATTAATTGATCTATCATGTATAGTATGGATTTTATACTAATCATGTAACTATAATATAAAATATAATAGTATAGATAGATAATATAGATGTAAAAATGTAGCGAAAAAAATCTATTTATGTATAAAATATTGTAAAATATATAGAAAGAGTTCCTACCAATTGTTACCAATAAATATGAAGAAACACCAATAGAGCTAAACACATTATCAACTAAGGCCCCTTCGATTGTTTACCGAATATAAGGGTTTGAAGAGAATATGTAATACCTAAGGATAAAGATGTGATATAATATATATTATAGGATATGGGATAAATTATATATACTATGGGGTCACTTATACTATATTTAGTTTAGATATGATATAGGATGAGGTAAGAGGAGAGATTATTTTTTATCTTTGGATGAAAGATGAGTTATATCCGATAGTGGAAAATATACAATACCATAAGGGATGGTATTTCATATGCCCTCTTTTGTATTATATATTATACGAACTCTCTATATTCAGAGCAACCAAACATGTAATATAGGGAGACAAAAAATTATATGAGACTCACCTCATATTATAACTGGTCTTTATATACGGGAAACAAACAAGCCTATGTACTATAATGAAAACCAAAGAATAGATAGATAGCATGCCTGAGTTTGTGAAGTGGACACCGCAATATGTAGCAGGGTGTTGCCTTCATCATCTTTCCAGCCTAGTACATGACGTTTATGGATCCTGCGAAGGCATCCCAACAGCACTTTAAAAGCTTGTAGCTTTGAGTTTTTCACGGCAATGTGCAGTGCAGTCTCATCTCGAATTGTTCGATCCATTATTGATTCTGGACAAGCACATAGAATTTCAGCCAAAAGATCAATGTCGCCTTTTTCAGCTACGTAGTGCAAAGGAGTGAAGCTTCCCTTTCCTTTGACTCGTATGAGCTCCTTGTCAAAATTTATGAGCCGGCTTATAGTCGAAGTGATCCTATTTCGCAAATCCAGGTCCTTTGGGCTTAGCTCTTCCATTTTTTGCAAATCCGGGTCTGAGGGGCTTAGGCCTTCCCTACTTTGCAAAGCCAAGTCCAAGGGGCTTAGCCCTTGTGGGTTCAGCTTCTTACCAAATGATGGCATTAATCTTATCCTTTCTAAAGCGAAATGGGCATGTCCAGTTGAGGCAGCTATGTGTAAAGGAGTATCAACAAAAGGGATCTTATCTATTCTCTTCAAAATTTTTGGGTAATCTTGTATACACCCGTACAGGAGATTGATATCTCCCGTTTCTGCAGCCTCCATCAACCTTTGCCGAACCTGTTGGTTCTCCATGACACTTGTGACCAAGAATATACACTACAAGAATTTACACATTTGCCGACCACTTTTGCCGACCAAAAAAATTTTGGTTGCAAAAAAATGACATTTGCCGACCAAAATATGAATTAGTCGCGAATGATCGTTATTTTTGGCGACCAAAATGAGTTGGTCGCAGAAGGTCACATTTTGGCGACCAAAAATGAGTTAGACGTAGAAATTGGTATGCTTTTGGCGACCAACTTCAAATTTGGTCGTGGAAGGTTACATTTTGGCGACCAAAAAAAATTAGTCGCCAAAATTGTATTTTTAGCGACTAATATTTTAGTCGCCATTAATTGAGATTTGGCGACTAAAAAAGTTTGTCGGCGAAGGTACCCTTTTTGCGACTAATCTGGTCATTTGGTCGCGAAAAGTTTGGGAGGGAAATTTGAAACATGGAGGGGGGAAATGAAATTTTTTTGCAACAAAAAAAATTTTGGTCGCCATTTATAAAACGACGTCGTTTTGTACCCACTCTCCCTAAAAATTTGGTCGCCATTTCTAAGTGTTGCCATTTATAAACCCTAAACCGCTGCCCCATTCCAACTCTCTCTCTCTCTGTCTCTAATGGAGAATGGGAACGAGTGGTTGGTCCCCAAATAAGCTACAACACATTCTCTTCTGCTTCTCCATCACCATTATTTTCTCTCTCCTCGCTTCCCTAACTCGCTATTCCTTCCTCCGCTGCCGGACCATCTGGTTCGGATCCATTGTCTCCCTCTCCGCCGGCGCCGCCAAAGAGGTTGCCGACGAGCTTGGCTTCTTCAAGTCGGCCGGAGCCTCCGCCAAAGACGTTGTTGCTGATCTCCTCGGCATTTTTCTCGCTGTGCTCGTTCTTTCTCTCACCAAATCACTCTCTCTGCGGATCAAACCCGATCAATCGGGTCAAATTCGAGGGGTCGAGATAGTTTGATCGATGGCTTGGGTTGCAGTTTGTGTGATCGAGCATTTTGGAGTGATCAGGTTAGTCTGTATACAGTTATCCGTTTGGTTTATGAGAAGATGATAGACAAACAGAATTTTCTTACAAAAGTGAAGATTTGAAACTTGAAATAGGATCTATTGAATTTGTTTTTAAATTTGTTTGTACAGCATTACTCCCAAAAAAAAAAAATGGACCTTGGAATTGCTATTGGATTCAAAATTTTCATTTTCAAGCTAATTTCAAGAAAAAAAAATGAATGGCTATTGGAATGAATTAGCCATTAATTTTCAATAGCAATTTCAGTAGAAGAAATGAAAAAAGGGCTATTGGATTCAAAATTTTCATTTTTCAGATTACATCAGTTTGTTTAGTAAGTTTGTCTATTGATTTAGAAATTAGCTTGGGGTTTTGCATATTCTCTTCAACTTATTCTACTATTTATAAATAAGTTCATTGGTTTTGAAATCAAATTACTCTAAAAGAAAGAATTTCAAAAGAAAAATTACAAAGGAAATGAGCAAAACTTAATGTGGTTGAAAAAATAATCTGATAGAATTAATTCATATATATTGTCTGGTGATTGCAGCAGGGAAGCCATGGAAAAATATCGAAGGAGCTGGTTAATCGGCTAATCAGTATTCTTGGTCACATGATGCAGTTGAGGACATTAAAGGTATCTCTTTTGAATGAGAATAATTTATTAATAACTGTTGCTTCATTTTCTTGTTGATGTTAACTCGCTCCCAAGGTTAGTTTATTTAGGGGTTGTTTGGGATGACCTAAATAAGTGTACTTTTTGTCTTTTTACGAAAAGATGTGCAGAAAAGTAGAGAGGTGATGTGATGGAAAAACGATAAAAAGATAAAAAGATGGATTATTTTAGAGTTGCCAAACTTGGCCTTAGCTGGGTGAAGGCTTGGGTAGTGATCATGATAGTTAGCATGAAGAAAATAGGGAGTTTCTTTGAAAATCTGTTAGGATGGTTCCGAAAAATGTCGTGAATCATTGCTGGGAACAGCTTAAAAATGAACTTGATTTCTTTTTGATGATTGATAAAATTTTATTAAGAAAGAGAAGATAACAAATGGAGAAGTATGGGCAAGATATGTAGAATGGAGGAAAACATAACTATTGTTTGATAACTGAAGAATTCCAAGAAAGATTAATCTTCTTCAAGTGATGCAGAATGGAGGAAAAACAGAACTATGGTTTGTTAACAGGAGAATTCCAAGAAAGATTAATCTTTTTTAACAACGGCATTGATGATAATAAATATCTCAAACTAAAAAATAAGAAGCTTTTTTTTTTGTATATAGAAAAATAAAATTCCTTGTTGGAGATTCATCTCTCCTCTGTGAACGACAAAAAATTTCTTTTCTTATCCCAAACTCCAACCCGACAGACATTACACAAACAAATTGAAAACTCAATTTATGCTATGCTTAAACCCAAAAGGAGAAAACAGAGATCAAATTTGATCTTGCAAGGAAAAAGGTGGTTTGTCAAGTCTGCCTTCATGCCCTTTAAACATCTTGGGATAAACCATTTTTAACTTATTGAGCGAAAATGTTGAATTTTTTATTCCTTGTCACTATCCCACTGAAAAAAGCAAGCACTTAGTTTTTATCATGGGAACACATCAAACATGCACTTTTTTTCCATGGGTGTGTGAAGCCCACATTCTGCGAGTAACCAACAAAATGAAGATAAGGTTTTATAATGTCTGTTTGTAACTGTTAGAAGTTTATATATTTTATGCAGAACTTTTCTATCAAACATGTTATTGTGGATAGTTCATGACATGATTTATGGGCTTGCTATTTAGACTCGCCATGGATATAAATTTATAATGATGGAGTTGGAGCAATATCTTAATACCTGGTTAAGGTAACGTACTATTTAAGCAAGTTTATGTTTGGTTCAGAAATTTTATAAATTGAGTCATTTGGTTAGAGGATTGTCGTCTAAGTGGTGTCACAAATATAATTGCACCAAGCAGAACCATAGTTGCATGGATTGTGATTCACAGGCATATATATGTTCTCTGGGCAGTTGATGTTTATTACATGCATGTCTCTATTGAGTCTTTTCCACCCCAGAAATGGAAGTTTTTGAGTTATTTCTCTTCCTTCTTTTTTAGTTTAGTGACAGTTCATCAAAACAATTGTCAAAAATTGCTAGATCGAGCACATGACGTGCATAATTTTAAGTCCAAGACTAGGCTGTATCTTCTGCAACATTTATACTGCTAAACCTCCTCCTTTTAGTGATTTCGTGATTGAAAAGAGTGTTCATATTACGGGAAGTTTCCCTTCCAACATGTGACTACATCTGACTTACATACAGGTAAACATCGACTTAAGGACTTTCATATGACAACATCTGACGTGAAGAACAGGTAAACACCGACTTAAAAGACTTCGACTGTCTTCTGTCTTCTCTTTCCTGTGTGTTGAACAGATATTAGTTCTTTTTCCAGTAGCTAGGAAATGCCTCCAAGGCTGGTTTAGGAGTGAATGAGCTAAGCTATCTTATTCAGATTCTGATAGTTTTTGTGACATTTTGGCGGATGTTCATGATTATGCACATCCACTGATCATTCTCATCATCCATGGTTTTAATATTGATTTGCATTCTTTTAATGTTGGGACATAGGTTTTAAGTTGAGATATCTATCAAATGTGGTTATACTGTCATTATACTGGCTGTTAGTATACTGTCATTATGTTGGCACATAGGTTTTAAGTTTAGATATCTATCAAATGCCTCCCAAGGCTGGCTGTCATTATACTGGCTGGCTAAAATCATTTGATAAATCTAGCAGAACTCCTGAGTTTATTGTCTTGTTACATGACTAGGTGACCAAGAATTTGATAGATATTCAAGGACCTGCCTTAGCTATTGTTCTTGAACGACTAAAGCACTCTGGGGCTTTTCAAGGTATGTTATAGTGAAGTTTGTTGAGGTTTTATTATCTTTGTTCGGTAGTGCTATTTCATAGTGACATAATTTTTCTTTGTTCCCAGAAACATTTGAAGTGGCTAAAACAATATCGATGGGGCCATCATTGAAAAGTGGATCAAAAGTTCGTGAACCAGACGAGCACCCTCCCCAACATATTTCTTAACAAGTTCACGAAGCTAAATTGTACAAGACTACTTGGCAGTATAAGCATTTTTTGGAGGATTAAATGATTTTTGGATGGATGTGTATCGATAACAAATATTAGTAGTTTTATTTGTTGATAGCTGCGCATGGATAACAAATAGTTATGTTTCAAATTGTTATGCTAGATGGATGTGACTTGTGAATGAAAACTTAGAATAGTTGTATTATGTCGGATGTTAATGAATTATGTATTGTGTCGAATGTTAATGATTCAGTTAATTTGAATGATGTTTTAAAATTATAGGTTTATTATGGATTGAATATTTTATTAGAAATTACAGGTGTATTGTTTTCTTGCTTTGGCGACCAATTTATTAGTCGCGACATCCAAAATAATTTTTTTTCGAAAAAAATGACAATTGCCGACCAAGAGTTTTGGTCGCAAAAAATACATCTATTGCCGACCAAAACAGCTCTTGGTCGTGGAAACTCACTTTTGCCGACCAAAAGTTTTGGTTGCGAAAAGTAACAAATGGCAATCAAATTTTTTGGTCGTGGAATGTCACAATTGGTGACCAAACTTTTTGGTCGTTAAATGTGATAATTGCTGACCAAATTTTTTGGTCACGAAATGTGTCAATTGGCGACTAAGATATTTGGTCGGGAAAATGTCACTTTTTGCGACCAAAGTGTTTTAGCGACAAAATGAATTAGTCGCGGTAATTAAATATTTAGCGACCAAAAATTTAGTTGGCAAATCTAACTTTTGCCGGCCAACACCAATTTTGGTCGCGAATTACTTTTGCCGACTCTCAATTGGCGACCAAAGTAGCGACTAAAAAAATTGGTCGCGAATAACTTTTGTCGACCAAAAATAGACTTTTAGCAACTAATTTTTTTGTTGCCAAAAGTGTTAATTCTTGTAGTGATAGCACTCGAA